TTTCTGTAAAAGGAGTAGAAACACCTTAACACGAAGTTCTTCACAGACGTAATTAAAAGTGAATATTCTGATGTATTATCTGCAAACTATCAGCGTTATTTTCATCACATCGTAGAGCGCGTTTACATTTAGCGAGTAACTCACCACGTATGGCACACACAAATCGAGTAGCAGTTGAGTTGGCACAATACGATCTTTCTAATGGTTCTCATCGTATGTAGATATAATATGATATGATACGCCAAGCGCTATTGAAACGACAGATTAACCGAATAATCAATGATAATGTATACACACATTCAAACACGATGCAAATTGTTAGAAAATGCAATTAATTTTGGTCTTGTAAGGATTTTGCTGAAGCGCAGTATACATCGGATTTCTGTTTAATCATCACAGTCATCACGAGCAAAATTCATCCTTGTTATGTTATTTTTTGAGTTATTCGTTTCCTCGTTTACGACGATAACGGGGAAAAAAAAGAGACGTTAAGCTTGTCTGATGTTTCTCCACAGAGGAAAAGCTGATATACAACAAGGCAGATGTTGTTACAATTTATTGTTGGTATGGTATACCCATTACTCTTCCGTACAAGATTGAATGAATATTACGTCATCCCTAATTAGAGCACGATCGTAAGAAGCGTTTTTTACACATTTTTACATCCTCATTAGAACATATCTTTCGAGATATTGTTGTTTATCTTCGATCGCAGATCATTATACTCCTGTAACTCTGGAGACAATTGCACTGCGAGCATCGTGAAAGTTGCAACCACCGCGCAAAACTAGAATGGAACATATTAAGAGCTTAACAGTACAGTTTATTTTCATTGCGTGCTATGCATACCAGCACTTTATCGCAATCCGTCGTTAAACAAGTTAGAATGTGGAGACTGATACGTGGTATATGCTATAAAAAAGGTAGTGTTTATTTTATGATAACGGGGAAAAACTTGATAGAATAATTTCCCTGTTTGTTATTTGTGATATGGGACATGACCAACGAGTAAACGAGGATAGACGAGGAAGCCACAAGGTAGAGACAAACCTTCCAGAATAACTTGGTACCGAAGCAAAAGAGCCTCAGACCGGTGAACTTCAATGGATGATGCATCGTTTGCAAAATGAATTGACAAAGCTGCAAACAGGCACAAGCGCGAATTTTTCAAATATGATCTCTTACAAACGCGTCGCTTGCACTTCTAGCTTATATAAAAGTAATCACTCACCTCCTGGTGCATATCGGCGTATCGCAGAATAATTGTCAGCTGATGAATTGTCTCGCTAATTTTGTTAGCCTGAAAACAGAAAATGAACGTCGCTACTACATCGACACTATATTTCTTTCGAGAATCGCGCGCGTAATATTACCTTAACGCTGACGCTCTCGCAAATGTAATTAAGGGAGTAGAGTTTTATGATGCATATGCAGGCCAATATAATGCCGTTGAGCCAGATATATATTGGTATGCCTTTCCAAGTGAGCAGAAATATACTAACATAAAACGCCAGTGACGTAAAGAATAAGAGATAGTTCAACATCTCCAAGGTCATCTGCGTTCCGAATATCAGATTCAGTTCACGCGCGATGCGACATAATTCTAGCTGAAGATGCCTGGAGAACAAATCTCGTTACGCCACAATGTATAAATCGCGAGAGTATCGTAGGAGAAGAAGTATATCGGCTCGTACATTCGATTTATTATATTATTTTTCAAATTGGCATAGAGTGTCTTATCGCGTATTTCGTGTTATTATCAAGTCAATAATTTATACAGGCATGCAGGTGTACCGATTTACATTGAGGTCCACAACACTCGCTTATAATTATCGGCATAGGTATGTCGGTAAACAGCAACCACTGGTCTCTTCCACGTACACCTCAAGCCGTACTCCTCGCTCACCAATAGGCCTCGTACATTTTCGTTAAGTTTGTCGAATCTGGTGCCTATATACCTGTGTTGCGAAGCATATCTAGAATATTACAGAATGAAATCTCTCCAATTTCGGACCCGGTAAATTTCGACAACACAAGTACACGGAGTCATGTGTTTTGTTATTAAATGAAAATATGCAGCAGGTATTCCGATTAAATGAGCACATCATCGACCAAACGAGCAAGCAAATTATAGTTTTTGTGTACAGACCACATGAAGAAGATAAACGTGAAATCCACGAATATGTTGACGTAATAACAATGATTTATCACATGAGGTATGAGATACACCCAATTAGACTGCGATACTTTTCGCCACCAGAGGACATCGAAAGTATTTTTGAAGAGTATGTAAACGACCCATCCAGCTACTACCCGTTTTGACCACATGTGCATCTCTTGGTACATTTTTGGAATCCCCAACTCTTCCAACGTGTCGTCCACAATGGCGAGCCTCTTAATGCACGTCCTTAATTTCTGAAACGTTATGTGAGATGCAATTGAAGGAGGGGGGAGATCACTTAAAAGATGTCACTAAGAATTAAATTTAACTATTTTTTTTTTGTCGACGCGAATTTCTTCTTTTTGCGAGTTTAATGTGCTATTCAACGACGAAGTTTGCCTTTCGACAAGCGTTTTTGTTCAGAATCACTTGCATGGGAAAGGTTTTCACTCCAAATAGCATTACGATACTCGGATGTCGCGTAGTAAACTCGCTGACACACGAACAGCCCGACATTGTCGTGGCACATTGCCATTACGCCGTCATACCTTGTTATAAAATAAGCCGATGATTACGGACATGAGCGTAATGAGCATGTCGATCACATTCAGGATTATCGAAAGGATTGTCAGAAATGTCATGTTCCATGGAATAGACATCATTATGCAGTAGTAGAAGTAGCCGTAAGCGCACCACAGCATCAAAGAATACAAAGCACTGAAGCACGGTTTCGCTCGATTCGTATGATAGATCCCCAAGCCGATAATAAACCAGGTGACGAGGAGGGGTTTTACGCTCTGTTGGATAATGGTCAACGTGGCCATCGTCTGCCGCAAACTAACAACGAATGTCCGTTGAAACTCCCATTTGCCGTATGCATCGCTCTGTGTTACGTCGACGCCACAAGAAAAGACGGATCCTCGTAATCACAATATCTTCGATGTACAAGCACTTACGCATATGAAAACAATTGATCTATCCTGATAAAAGAAATTACTCGTCATCGAAGTCATCCTTCATGCCGTAAATCAAGCGAAACTCATTAAAATACATTAAAATACCAACGGCAACGCCAACGCCAACGCGGACATATTTTTTGTTTAAACAGAAGCTCTATTAAATAGAAGCTTCTTTATTATCTATTTGGAATAATTATACAGTGTGTTGTGCATGCGCAAGAAATTATAATTATTTTACTGAACCTTGTTTTTATTTCATTTCCTTGATTGCAGCTATTATTATGATTGTCGTGAAGCATTGTACAAATTGAAAGAAATTGTTTTATTACACTTAGAATTTTGAAACTTAATATAAATAAATAAATAAATAAATATATATATATATATATATATATATGTGTGTGTGTGTGTGTGTGTGTGTGTGTGTGTGTGTGTGTGTGTGTGTGTGTGTGTGTGTGTGTACGTCTGAAATGGGCTACGGACCATAAGCATAAATTTGTAGCCGATATTGAAGAATCAGTACACGGAGATCGTTAAAGGCTTTTGCAGTAATTGTAGCAGACATTGCGTAATCTGTAAATAATTGCATAATTAGAAATATATATAGTTTCGCGTAAGCAAGCATTTATACGTTAGAATTGTCTTACATTTTGCTCTGCATCGAGGGTAAGATTCGATAATCTATTGAGAAATCCGCCACCCTTCGCCTAATATTAACAGAATTTAATAATTATATAAAAAATTATATTAAAAAGTTATATATATAAAATAAAATAATTTTGTATTCAAATTAAAATATGCAATTTACAAAGAATAAAGATTTTTAAGAGGGAAAGGATCAGATGCTATTTTATTATATATTTAAAGTTATATCATTTAATGGTTTAAAAAGTAAACAACAAATTGCCAGTATTACCTAATTGTTTGCAACATGCTTTTCTGTAAAAGGAGTAGAAACACCTTAACACGAAGTTCTTCACAGACGTAATTAAAAGTGAATATTCTGATGTATTATCTGCAAACTATCAGCGTTATTTTTATCACATCGTAGAGCGCGTTTACATTTAGCGAGTAACTCACCACGTATGGCACACACAAATCGAGTAGCAGTTGAGTTGGCACAATACGATCTTTCTAATGGTTCTCATCGTATGTAGATATAATATGATATGATACGCCAAGCGCTATTGAAACGACAGATTAACCGAATAATCAATGATAATGTATACACACATTCAAACACGATGCAAATTGTTAGAAAATGCAATTAATTTTGGTCTTGTAAGGATTTTGCTGAAGCGCAGATACATCGGATTTCTGTTTAATCATCATCGCGAGCGAAATTCATACTCGTTATGTTATTTTTTGAGTTATTCGTTTCCTCGTTTACGACGAGAACAGGGAAAAAAAAGAGACGTTAAGCTTGTCTGATGTTTCTCCATAGAGGAAAAGCTGATATGCAACAAGGCAGATGTTACAATTTATTGTTGGTATGGTATACCCATTATTCTTCCGTACAGGATTGAATGAATATTACGTCATCCCTAATTAGAGCACGATCGTAAGAAGCGTTTTTTACACATTCTTACATCCTCATTAGAACATATCTTTCGAGATATTGTTGTTTATCTTCGATCGCAGATCATTATACTCCTGTAACTCTGGAGACCATTGCACTGCGAGCATCGTGAAAGTTGCAACCACCGCGCAAAACTAGAATGGAACATATTAAGAGCTTAACAGTACAGTTTATTTTCATTGCGTGCATACCAGCACTTTATCGCAATCCGTCGTTAAACAAGTTAGAATGTGGAGACTGATACGTGATATATGCTTTAAAAAGGGTAGTGATTATTTTATGATAACGAGGATGAACTTGATAGAATAATTTCTCTGATCGTTATTTGTGATATGGGGCATGACCAACGAGTGAACAAGGATAGACGAGGAAGTAACAAGGTGGGGACAAACCTTCCAGAGTAACTTGGTACCGAAGCAAAAGAGCCTCAGACCGGTGAACTTCAGAGGATGATGCATGGCTTGCAAAATGAATTGACAAAGCTGCAAATAAACACAAGCGCGACATTTACAAACGTGATCTCTCACAAACGCATCGCTTGTGCTTGTCGCTTATATAAAAGTAATCACTCACCTCCTGGTGAATATCTGCGTAACGCAGAATAATTGTCAGTTGATGAATTGTCTCGCTAATTTTGTTAGCCTGAAAATAGAAAATGATAGTCGCTACTACATCGACACTATATTTTTTACAAGAATCGCGCGCGTGATATTACCTTAACGCTGATACTCTCGCAAATGTAGTTAATGGAGTAGAGTCTCATGATGCATATTGAGCACCATATACCGTTGCCGAGCCAGTCCCTCATTGATATGCCTTTTCCACTGAGCAGCATTGTGCAAAAATTAAAAGCCATTAATGTTAAAAATATGATATAGGTCAACATCTCCAAAGTCATCTGCGTTCCGAATATCAGGTTTAGTTCACGCGCGATGCGACATAATTCTAGCTGAAGATGCCTGTTGGAGAACAAATCTTGTTACTGAAGAATATAGAGATCGCGAGAATATCGTAGGAAAAGAAATATATTGGCTTGTACAATGGATAATTTTTAAAATTGGAGTAGTGTTTTATCGCGTGTTACATATTATTATCAAGTGTCATTATCAATAATTTATACAGGCATGCAGGTGTACCGATTTACATTGAGGTCCACAACATTCGCTTATAATTATCGGCATACGAGGTATGTCGGTAAACAGCAACCACTGGTTTCTTCCACGTACACCTCAAGCCGTGTTCCTCGCTCACCAGTAGTCCTCGTACATTTTCGTTCAGTTTGTCGAATCTGGTGCCTATATACCTGTGTTGCGAAGCGTATCTAAAATATTACATGATGAAATCTGTCCGATTCGGACTCGTATGGTAAATTTCGACAGGATGAGTACACAGAATCTTTTCTTTTGTTATTAAACGAAAATATACAGCAGATATTCTAATTAAATGAGCACACGATCGACTAAACGAGCAAGCAAATTGTAGTTACTGTATACAGACCACATGAGGAAGATAAACATGAAGTCCATGAATATGTTGACGTGAAAGCAATGATTTATCAAATGAGGTATGAGGTACGCCCAATTAGACTGCGTTATGCTCCGCCACCAGAAGAAATCGTAAGTATTTGTGAAGAGTATATAAACGACCCATCCAGCTACCACTCGTTTTGACCACATGTGCACCTCTTGGTACATTTTTGGAATGCCCAACTCTTCCAACGTATCGTCCACTATTGCGAGCTTCTTAATGCACGTTCTTAATTTCTGAAATTACGTGAAATGCACTTAAAGAGGAGAGAGATCACTTAGAAAATATCACTTAGAATTAAATTTAATTATTTCTCTTTTATCGACGCGAATTTCTACTTTTTACGAGTTGTGTGCTTTTCAATGCCAAACTTTGCCTCTCGACAAGCAGAAACTTTTCTCAGAATCACTTGCATGGGAGAAATTTTTTACTCCAAGCAACATTACGATCCTCGGATATCGCGCAATAAACTTGTTGACATGCGAACAGTCTGATATTGTCGTTGCAAGATTCCATTACGCGGTCGTACCTTGTCATAACACAGTCCGATGATTACGGCCGTGAGTGTAGTGAGCATATTGATCTCATGCAGGATTATCGAAAGGGTTGTCCGAAATATCATGTTCCATATAAAAAACATCATTATGCAGTAATAGAAGCAGCCGTAACCGCACCACAGCATTAAAGAATACAAAGCACTGAAGCACGGCTTTGGTCGATTCGTAGGATAGATCCCCAAGCCGATAATAAACCAGGTGACGAGGAGAGGTTTTACCCCTTGTTGGATGGTGGTCAACGTGGCCATCGTCTGCCTCAAACTAACAACGAATGTCCATTGAAACTCCCATTTGCCGTACGCATCGCTCTGTGTTACGTCGTCGCAACACGAAAACACGGATCCTTTCGTAATCACATTTTCTTCGTTGCACGAGCACTTACGCATATCAAGATAATTGATCTATTCTGATAAAAGTGATTATTCGTCATTGAAGTCATTGAGTCATCCTTCATGCCGTTACTCAAGCGAAACTCATTAAAATACCGCCGCCAACGCAGAGATATTTTTTGTGTAAACAGAAGCTCCATTAGACAAAAGCTTCTTTATTATCCATTTGGAATAACCATACAGTGTGTTGTTATGCATAGGCAAGGAATTATAATTATATTACTGAACCTCGTTTTTATTTCATTTGCTTGATTGCAGCTATTATTATGATCGTCGTGAAGCATTGCACAAACAGAAAGAAATTGTCTTATCACACTTATAATTTTGAAACTTAATATGAATAAATAAATATATATATATGTGTGTGTGTGTGTGTGTGTGAGAGAGAGAGAGAGAGAGTGTGTGTGTGTGTGTGTGTGTTAGTGTCGTGTGTGGCTGAAAAGAACTACAGACCATATGCATAAATTTGTAGCCGAAATTGAAGTATCAGTACACGGAGATCGTTACACTTTTGCATAAATTGTAGCAGTCATTGCATAATCTGTAAATAATTGCGTAATTAGAAATATATATAGTTTCGCGTAAGCAAGCATTTATACGAATAATAGCATAGTATTCAGAATTGTCTTACATTTTGCTTAATCTCTGCATCGAGAGTAAGATTCAATAATCTGTTGAGAAATACTCCG